CTTCGCTCCGGTCTTCTTCTCCGAGTGGTGACTCCTCCCTCCGCTTCCTACAAGCCCCTACGTCTTCCGAGATTCCGTGACCTCTATTAGACCGGCCCACACAGAGAGCTACAGTTAACGATTGCCGTGAAGGCTGCGTCATTGGACAACGCCGGTGAACTACGAAGGACGAGAACGTGGAGAGCGCGAAGATCGGGCGAATGGATGTGAAGTTTGTATTGGTGGCTAATTAACTACGTGTGGGAGTGGCAAGCGGCGCTACTAGAGGACTACAGTGCGACAGTCACGTGCGTGGTGACCACGATACTGGTGTGTGGGTTATCGCGACCCCAGTGCAGGGCGTGAGGATGGTCTTCATGTGGAGCATGTACGTATTCGGGGCCAGCGTCTGCTTCTTTCTGGTGACGTGTGGAGAACGATACATGGTGACGGTGCGTAGACCAGAGGCGATGCGTCTGAGTCCCGGGGACTACGTGTGTGTCATGTTCGCTATGGTGTTCATCATGCCGATCGCCGTCCTGCGAGAATACGAATACCGGATCGGCGCTGGCGGTTACATGCTCTGTATATGGTGGATGGTAAAGGATCACTCGGTCTGTGTGCTCATGCCTGAAGCCGTCCAAGAGTCATGGCGAAGCAGTTGGCAGTATAGGAGGACCATGTGAAGCTGTGGCCGCTATTGGTGGCCGGATGGGCGACTTTGTGTACGGCTCATGTGGTGGAGTGGGGGTCGCAAAATCACGTTGCGATCCGCTCTGACACACAGTGCCCTGGACTGCCGACTGACGGAGGGGGTACTCCGATAACCGTGGGGTTGCTGAGGGTTCACCTTGTGTACCCGTCGGCGGGGCTGGCTACACTCCTCTGGTGGACTCGATGAGAGGCTTGGCCTGGGTTGGTCTCGTCTTGGCGCGACGCGGGATGGTTGGGGTGGCGTTGCGTGGATACTCTTCAGGCTAGGTAGGTTGTCGATCTTGATCGACTTGGGGTGTAGTTGTTCCTTTGAGGGGGGTTCCTTGTTCCTTTTCTTGCAAGGCTTGACCGTTTCCTATAGTGGGGGAGTTGATGGCGAGAGTGGAGACGATCGACCGGCCAAGCTGCTAACTCCGGCGACTGACGCGTGTCCTTGGTAGAATTAACTTGATAACTGTATGGACCAATGTACTTCCCGCTACAGTTTCTGGTCTTGAACCGAAGACACTTGTTCCTGATGAGGCAATTTCCATTCTGTTATTCCTTGAAGTCCTAGCAGTCCAATACTTTCTGCCCATCCTATACTGCCCTTTATATCCCATCTGTAGCCTGGTCGCGTGGTAGTTACCGTGGGTACAAATCAGATGATGTGTCATCAGTAGATCGCGTCCTTGTCGGTCGATCGTGTATCCAAATGATTGCACCATGTCGATACACTCCGATGATTA